GACATGGAGCTCCGCGAAGCGCAGCATGGAGGCGGCGACGACGACGACTGCGTCATTTGCACCAATGGCCTTCACACGTCGCCGTCGGTCGAGCTGCCCTGTGGCCACGCTTTCCATGCCGAGTGCATTTTCGATTGGTTTTCCCAACAGCCCACGTGCCCCCTCTGTCGCTCGGTCACCGACCGAGTCATTGGGCTCTACGCGCCGCAATCCATCGCAACCAACGAGGTCTCGTTGTAGTTTAGTCGTGTAGCTTAGTCGTATCTTATTTAAACCACCCCTTCTTTCATCATGTACGTGGTCAACGCTTGTGACCACTTGAAAGACGGCGACAGGCGCTTGCATCCCACGCTGTTAGACCGCAGGAGACAGCGCCAGCGGCGGACAGCCGCGGTGCGGAGGCTACCGACGATGCTTCGATCGCGTGGCTTGTGAGTCACTGCAGACAAATAATGACACGAGCCGACTCAGCTGCATAGATGTATCTTGTGCGTTTTGATGGCCACCTGGGTATGCGGCTGGCTGCTTCGGTTCTAACGGCCACGTCGCTGCCTTTCCCAATGCTGTCATTGCATCCCACTACAATTATTAGGAGGAACCCAAGGACTGAGTATGCGTGGCACTAGATGCAAAGATAATGCAGTACAGCGCCTCTGATTAAAACGCTGCATGGAAGGTTCACATGCACGTAAACTCGACGCGCAGCTGCCATCATGGCTCGAAATGGCTTTATCCGTGCTCGCAGGCGAGGTTGACGCGCGTCGCTCAAGTCAAAGGAGCGTCAGCGAAGGTGATCGAGCGTCTCTGCGTTGGATGATGGAGAGAACGTGGGATATGAGGTGCCTCATGTAAGGTCATAAGCTCGGGGCTCGATAAGAACGAGCGTTTTTTATTCTTAGAGCTGCATGACGTGGCAGCGTAACAGGGTGGCGTGTGGTGGTGTCGACAGAAGACGCGTCAGCGCAACTCGCTCTGCTGCTCTCAGGATGATGTCCCAGCCACGCGCTTGATCCCATGCGATGTAATTGATGACGCGCACGCAATGTCGAGGGGCTATTTTTACGTCCGAGCCTTGCAAGAGGTTGGTGCACTTCTTACACGGCGATGCAATGTACACGTTGTTGTTGAACTGAGGTATATTCCATGCAGTTATAAAGATATGGTGGACTTTCTAATGCGCTCGTGAGGCGTGGCCGGTGCGTCAGTGACGAGGTCGCGATTTGCGATTGTGCGAGGGACCAGGTAGCGTGCACATCAAGGGTTGTTGCGGAGAGTGGTCAGCGACGGGTCAATGTACACGTGTAGAATCTCTACTGCCGTCCAGTGCCCTGACCTGTCGACATACCGGCACGCACGTCAGTGGCAAGGATACTACTCGACGCCCAAGACGGCGTCCAACATGCCCCAAGCCGAGATCTATTGTAATAGACAACCCACTTCAACAACAACGACCGAGTAGCCACCGGACGCAAAAAGCACGTCGGGTGACCGCCACGCTGCGTCCCGGCACGCTGCGGCAGCGGCATGGGCACCGTGCTTTGTGCGCGATAGCACAAGACTCCACGAGGTCAAAGAGACGCCGGTCGTCGCACTTGGCGTGAGCGTTCGATGGGACGCGCAAAAGGAGCTCGACGTCGCACGTGGTCGCACGCCTTCGACCAGCATGGCGCAAAAGAGAGTCGCACCGGCGAAGCGAAAGTCGTTGGCGTCGGCCATCTCGTTAGCGCGCATGAAGTAGCTTGCAACGCGCGCGCGGGCGTCGGGAATGCGCATGTCCATGACGAGGTGTACGCGGTAGTGCTGCACGATCGCCTTCAACGACGTTGGCGTCGTCTCTGCCAGCTCGCGCTCGATCCAGGCGAGGATGTCGGCGTCGGTGATTGCTGCCTCGGCCATACACAGCTTGCAGTGCGCGAGGAACCGCCATGTCGGCGGCGCGATCGTCGCTACGATCGACTGACACATGCCTTGGCTTTGCACGCGACCTCGTAACTCGCGGGCATTGCGGAAGGCCGCTAAGCTGGCAAGCGTCGTGTCCGCCAAAACCGGCGCGGCGATGAGCGTCTCCATGTTACTGTCGCTGTCGTCGT